TCTCTCTCTCTCTCTCTCTCTCTCTCTCTCTCTCTCTCTGTCCTTCCTCTCTCCTTCCCTCCCACCTTCCCTTCCATCCTTTTGGTACCAGGAATCAAACTCACACTTGCCAGGTAAGTGCTGTGCCACTGAGCTATATCCCTGGCCCCAGAAGTCCTTTAAATAGCAGGCAGTTAGAACTGAAAGAGACCTACTTAAATCAGCATTCCCTAAATGAATTGCAAAGGACCTTAAAACAGGGTTCTATGTTCAAATAAGCTGGAAAATGCCAGGCAAGCAAAATTTAAACAAATGTGTGTTTACTTGTTATTTTGTTTTAATTGCAGCACTTCTCAGCATTCACATGCATAACACATTCTAAAATGAGCTGTACAGAAGGTGGAAGGAAGGCACGACTTGCCAAACTAATTTTCTACAGTACTCTCTTTTTCAAAGAGTACCTATAGCAATTCAAAGAATGAGATAGGGTGACCATATGTCCAGGTATGCTCAGGACAGCACCAGGGGCTGCCTCATGTCCTGACATAGTTACCCATGTGCATGCTTCCATTTGTTAAAAGTGTCTTATTTTGGATGGTAAAATATATGCCAGTCTAACCATGGAACAGTTTGGGAAATGCAAATACAAGAATTCCAGTTAGTCCAAATCTGCCCTGTGACGGAGATGAGACCCAGGTTCCCTCACTCCTGGTTCTATACTTTTTCAAGACTGTGTACAGTCAGTTTCCTCTGTAGAGACGGAAGAACTAGAGAGGCCACCAGTCTTAAACTTCCAGGCTCCCTTTCTCTCCTGTGCACATTTCCCTTTCCTGCTCTCTTTTCCTAAGCTTCTTACTCTTTTTCCTTTCCTGCCTGCTGGTCTGGAGCTGCATATGCCCAACCCAGGGTGTGTCCTGGAGTGGGGTGATTTTGGCATCTGTTCTTGTATTTGGCAAGTGTTGGACTTGCAGAACCAGCCACGCTGCTCTCAAGGACCTAGGCTGCAGAGCACATTTACAATAACAGCCCCTCTGGGGACAGGCAGGAGTGTAGGCCTTAATGCTAATGTGGTACATGGTAGACAGATGAGCGGGGAGGGGGTGAGGTCCCTTTAGAAATACACAGGAAATCAAGTGTTGATAGGGCCATGTCACAAGGTCCCAGGACCCGGCAGCATTATTTTCTCCTTGTTTTTGCCTCTCCTTGTCCTCAGTAACGTCATCCTGTTCCCCTGGGAACAACAGCAGGCCTTCGTCTCCTGGCTCAGGACTCCACACCAGCAGCCCCACTGCATCTCAAAATAACTCCAAAGCAACAATGAACTCCTCCTCCAGTTTTAACTCCTCAGGGTAAGATGGAGAGGGGGGCAGCAGAGGCAGCCAGCAGAGCCCAGGGACATGGGAGGAGTTGGGCCAATGCCTTGGGACAGAAACCTTGTTATGGGGCTGGAAAAGGGGAACAGGGGCGGGGGGGGCGGTGCGAGGGGCAGGGAGAGGACGGAGTGGAGAGCCAGACTGGACTGTATCCCTGGGAGGTAGAAGCTGCAGCCAGTAAGCAGTCCTGGCAAGAGGCTGATGTCAACAAAGCCAAAATTTCCATCCTCATTTTGATGGTGGAAATTTCCAAATACTACTTCAGAGAAGGCCAGATCCTTTGCTGGACTTAGGAGTGTTCCACTCCATGCCAGGAATCCAGTTCTCAGGATGTTCTGATGTGAGTCTAGAGCTTAGGCACAAAGAAACTCGGGCTTCAGGAGTGGCTGACCCAAAGAGGGAGGAAAGTGGTACCAATTCCTGTCTTTTATTCCTGCCTGGGATGCTCCTGGGCGTTAGCTCATGAGCCAAAGAATCTACCCTAAAAACTATCCTCAAAGCAGATGACTCGAGAGTCTGCTCTGCTTCAGGAAGACACAGATTTGAAAGTAGGACAACAGGTCACAGACCTGAGCTGTAGGAAGAGACAGACCCACTTGTCCAAATCCAGGCAGTTCAGCAAGGCAGCCAGCTTTTACTGCCCAATTGAGGCATAGCCAAAGAATTGAAATTCCTTGCCTATCCCCAGCAGAGAGAAAAAGGCGGAGAGAACTGAATAATATTAATAGCTTTTGAGGTATAATTCATGTATCACAAAATTCACCATTCAGTAGTTTTTAGTATATTTACAAGATTGTGCAACCATCACCACTATTTAATTCCAGAATATTTTCATCACCCCCAAAAGAACCCCTTTACTTGTTAGCCATCAATCCCTATTCCCCTCTTTCTCCACGAGGTTGTAACTGTAGTTGACCTATTTCTTCCTTCCAGATCTTGGTACCGATGGAATCATCCCACCTACCTCCACTGAGACCAAAATGTTCCTCCCACTCCACCTGGCCCTGTATCCCTCACCGAAAGGAAGGAAAAAGGGACTTGTGCCTTCCATGTATGGACATGACTTTCAGAAGAGTGGAAGAAAAGCCCCATTATGAGTGAACCCACAATCTTGACTTCTTCAGGAACAAGAGCCTCTGGAGAGCCAAACTGTGATTGAACCTTGTGCTGACTCCATATGTTCTTGAAATATACAATACACCCCTCCTGGGAGTTCATCATTTCTCCTGAGCTGGGAGACAGTCTCCATACTGTTATCTTCTAGCTCTAAATATTTTAAATGGCTTCACTCTGGCAATAGTCTTTCAGAGAAAGGACTTCTTGCCATTATTCTCTAACTCACCCATGGGCTTCTAGGGACAGCAATTTCCCTGGTGTGCTCTCCAACTCTGGAATTGATGTGAGCAAACAGAAAAGCACAGAACAGGGGCAGACCAAAGTGCCCAGAGTACAGAGCAAAGAATTTCAAACCACTACAATGGAGATAATGGCTTTGACTTTGAACTTAGCTACAGCCTAAACTGATCTCAAAAATCTGCAGAAAGATTTGAATCGGATATCTCCTCCAAAGCCATGGTGATTTCTTCATTCAGCAGAATTTTCCCACTGAATCTCCTCTTACTCCCATACTCTTTTTAATCTTCCCTCTTTCCTAAAACCAAATCCATTCTTCTTCCATCCTTCCACTCTGCTTCCATCTTTACAGGTGGCTGAGCCAGCTCTGTACTCTGGGCACTTTGGTCTGCCCCTGTTCTGTGCTTTTCTGTTTGCTCACATCAATTCCAGAGTTGGAGAGCACTTGCTCTTTCTCTTTTTCCCTGTGTTTTTCCTTCTTCCATCCTCTGTTTCTCCTGGCTGCAGAAAAGGAAGAACCCATGAGCAAATATACAGCAATGATGCTGGTGACATACTTGTACATAGCCCTTTCCTTGTTTTACATTATGTTCTTTTCTTCTTAATATGGAATTTTCCAGAGAAATGTTTAACTCAGGTGTGAATTTCAAAGACATCTTTGTAATAATATTTTATCTTCTTAAAAAAAAAAAGGAAAAACTAACAAAGTACGAAATATTTAGAGAGTTTCCCATGTGGATTGGGACTCCTTGCTGATTTTTTTGGGAAGATTATCTTTAGAGTCTCTTTCTTTATGGGCCAGTGTATAGAGCTGTAACACGAAGCCACCCAGAAATGGTAATTTTTTTAAAAGATTCCATATACAGGAAAATGTTGAGACTCAAAGAAATGTCTCTGTTTCAAAATAAATTTGTATAATGATGTACAAACTATTCCATTATTGGTATGAAGTTTAAATTCTCCTTTTGTACCTTTTTCTTAGGGGAGGGAGAGATATGAGTATATATAATGAAATGGGGTGGGGAAGAGGATTCAAATTGGTACATGAAGTATATTCCCCCTATGTATGCTAAAAATGACATATATTAATACAAGGCCCTGAAGAGTTCAGGATTCTTATTCTTTGGGACAGAACTACCTTGGGAACAGAATAGGCAAGAGATTGTTTTCTTCCTTTTGTAGGTGTGAGGTCAATGAGTATCCAAGTTCAAGTTATTTGGTGATTTAACAGGTAGAGGCTGAGGCTAATATCTCATACCACAGATATCTTGAACACCGATTATTCAGTATTCAGAGAGGAAAGCAATAGATATTTAAGGCAAAGGATAATTTCATGACTGGCTTTGGAATTAATCACCACCTTTGGCAAGGAGGCTGAAACTATTCTTACGGTTTTTCTTAGGTTAATAAAAATTTAAATAGTTCCACAGGAGCTGGGAGTGAAACTCAGTGGTAGAGCACTTGCCTAGCATGTCAGAGGCACTGGATTCAGCATTCAGTACAAAAAAGTAAGAGAGAGGGAGAGAGAGAGAGAGAGAGAGAGAGAGAGAGAGAGAGACAGAGAGAGACAGAGAGAGACAGAGAGAGACAGAGAGAGACAGAGAGAGAGACAGAGAGAGAGAGAGACAGAGAGAGAGGGGCAGAGAGAGAGAGACAGAGACAGAAAGAAAAAAGAAAGAAAGAGAGAAAGGAGGGAGGGAAGGAAGGAAGGAGGGAGGGAAGGAAGGAAGGAAGGTGGGAGGGAAGGAAGGAAGGAAGGAAGGAAGGAAGGTGGGAAGGAAGGAAGGAAGGAAGGAAGGGAAAAAGGAAAGAAAAATTGTTTCACATTACTGAGGAAAACATTGACTTATGGGAAAGAAAGGACTTTTGAAAGTAATAGCTAGCCTGCCATGGTGGTGCATACATGTATCCCAGCCATCTGGGAGGCTGCGGCAGGAGAATTGCAAGTTTGAGCTCTGCCTGGGCAATTTAACAAGACCATGTCTCTAAATAAAAAAATAAAAAAGGGGTTGGGGTTGTACCTCAGTATGAAGGTCCTGGGTTCAATCTCTATTACCCCTACAAAATAATAATAATGATAATAATAGCTGATAGGGAAAGCCAAAGTTGGGATCACACTTTTGTTGCAAATAATAATAATACCCATGTAGGAAACCTATACATAAATCTTCAAGAGTCAACTGCTCCTGATGTTTGAATGGGGTTTATATTAAGACTTCTATTTCATGCCATGATGTGGGACAACGTCTGTTGACAGAGGTTAATTTCTCAATTAAAAAATGTAGTTAAAAGGGGTGAGTCAAGCATGGTGGCAGGGTCCTAAAATTATAGCTCTTCAGAAGGCTGATACAGGAGGCTTGCTTGAGCTCAGGAGTTCAAGACCAGTCTGGGCAACATAGACCCTATCTCATTAAAAAGAGAGGCGGGTACTTGTGAAGCAAAGGGATTGCAGGGGGATCCATCAGCTATGATTTTAGCATGTAAGGGGACTACTCTGCTACCAGAATATCTGTGCCCATTTCTGTACACATTCATGCATGTATGCACTCCTGCTTGTGTACTGATAGAAGCTGTAGCTGACCCTTTCCTGCCACAGTCCTGCCTTCCTTGGCATCCTGCTCAGTTGAGTACTGAAAGTTAATCTCTTACACTGAGCAAAACTCTGGTTTAAATCTACTTGTCCATATTTTGTAATGAAAAATAAACAGAATTATAGCCTAACTGTTCAGCCTCCAATAGCTTCCAGTCGCTGTTGACTGAGACATTCGCTGAGCAGAATCAAACCTGAAAATGAGTACAGATTCACCTTTTGTGTCTGCAAGATTTTGATCTACTTGGGGGTGTGGCCTTGGCATCAGGATTTTAAAAGCTCTTCAAATGAGTCTCCTATGAGCTCAAGGTTGAGAACCACTGCCCATAAAATTCTTAACTCCAGAGAAATTTAATGGAAGTTTACTTAGCTCATTCAGCATTTAATCAGAGACAAGAATCTAAAGGCAAAAACCAATCATTGTTGAGGCAGAAAGATAAAAGGAAAAAATGTTTCTGCTGCTTTTCAAATTTTAATCGTACCATGTCCAATCTTTCTTTCACTCAAGGTGGGCCCAGCTCTGGGCTTCTAAATCAAGGTAAAGACTTTTGGTCCAGCTCAGAGACTGGATTTATTAATCCCAGGGCTCAAATCAGGAAAGCTGCCTTGAACTGCAAGGGGTATGGGTGCAGTGAGCCTTTCTAGGTCCACTCTATATGCTCCTGGCCTGTGCCCTGGACCCTCCTCCTCCCCAAGATTGTGGGTGGGGGGAGTTTCTTGTAGTTGAAGCCATCTTTTGTTCTGTGTGTCCCCATGCCTAACAATGTGACTAGCACAAATAAAGCGAGTAAGATTTTTTAAATGGAATTCCTTTTTTTGCTAAACTACTTCACATGCCCTTCACTGGGATAGAAATCATGAACACAGAATGTAGTACACATTGATAAGAAATTCTAGTTGTGTGGTGGCAGCATGTCACAGGTGCATGACCCCCCCCCCTCCCCCGCCGAGTCACTCACTGCCTGGGTTCATGCCCAACTCTGCCTCCTGCTAAACATATCACTTTGGGAAAGGACTCAACTGCTTCAGTTTCTCACCTGTAAAATGAATATAAAACCAAATCTCACTCCATAGAGTTACTATGAGGATTAAGACAGTACCTGGTGAGTTAGTAAGGCAATACCATGCAAGTGTTATCAGTGATAATTGTGGTTACTATTGCTACTGTTATGAAATTGGTGGAGTGCTTTCTATTCCCTGCTCATAGCTAAAGACACAAAAATTAATAAAATGTAGTCTCAAGTAAAGATGCTTGAAGCTGAGATTCCAGTCATCCTGGTACATAGACTCATAGCCCAGCAATAGTAGGCACCTTCACTAATGACCTGAGTCTTAGACTTCTGAATCTTTTAATACTCTGTTCTTTCCTGGGAAATGGTGGCAACAAGAAGCAAGTCCCAGATTCAGACACTAGAAGAAAAAAATTGCAACAAAAAATAAAACAGGAAAAAAGTTATAGGTTTGCAAACTCTCCATTTCATGAACTGGGTCTTTCCACGTTATATGTCTTCAGGCTATCATTACCTCTGACCTGGTGTTCCATCACGTTTGAAACAGATCTTCACCTTTTCATGTTGTACTGATTTTAGCTGAATATCCCTGGAGTGGGGGTTCTCAACTTTGAGTGCACATTGGACTCACCTAAGGAGCTTTAAATATGATCGACAACCACACAGAGATTCTGATTTACTTTGGGGTGTAGCCTTGGCACTGGGATTTTAATTAAAAGCCCCTCAAATGATTCTTCTGTGTGCTCAGGGTTGAGAACTGCTGCCCAAACGAGCATACAGATCACTGGGAGCTATGTTAAAAAGGCAGATTCTGGTTTAGTAGGACTGAAATTAGGTTCTGAGATTCTGCGTTTCCAACTAATTTCTCGGTAGTGTAGGTTTTTTGGGTCCATAGACAACACTATGAATAGCCAAAACTGGGGGAGCATGGTAGCATAATTCCCTTACTGAGTAACATCACAGGCTTGCTCTACCCACATAAGAAGACATTTCAGTTTGGTGTCTTAAGCTGGCCTCAGAGGCAGCTAAGGGTTCTTCAGAATAGTGATTCTCAAATAGGACTGATCATCAGAATGGCCTCTGGGCAGATTTTAAAGATACAGATCCCAAGACACCACACTAGATCTACTAATTCAGAACATTAGAGGTGCAATCTGCACAAGAATATTTTGAAAAAACTTTCCAAGTAGCATTGATGGTCGACAAGTTTTAGGAACGGCAATATCCTTCCAACATAGCATTCCATTCATTCAACCAACAAATATTCATTGCACCTATCAGGTACTAGATACTAGAGAAATAGATGAAAAGAATGCCATCCTAACCTTTGAAGGCTTGGCAAGATAAATGATCAAAAATGAGAATATTTATTATTCCCTAGGTGTAGTATAAACATACCTCTACTAACGGTCTTTTCTGAAGTATGGGCCCATCAGCATTCCATTATTGCCTGTCTGGATCAACCCAACAGACACACTTTTTATCCTATCTGAGTCTCCCTATTTCTCCTTTCATTTCAAACTTACTCTCTTTAGTGTTAAAATAGTCTTAGGAGAAAACATTTATCTAATGTGAAATAAAAAGTGTGGACATTTATGTAATCAAGTGACTTTTATGTCTTAGCCACGATTCCAAGCACTTGGCAGATGTAATCTTTTAAAATTCTTCCAATAATCTTACGAGATATTATTTCTCTCCCCATTCTGTGAATGAGAAAAGGAAAGCCTAGATTAGTTAAGTAACTTGCCTCAGAGCATACCAAGCAGGATTTACTTGTTGTCTGAGACAGGGTCTCACTATGTAGTCTAGACTGGCCTTGAACTCCTTGTGATCCTCTTGCTTCAGTCTCCCAAGTGCTGGGATGACAGGCAGGTGCCATCACACCCAGCAGCTTTTAAGTCTTATCCTGTATTGCCCAACTGGTGAGAGCACTAAAATTAGAGTAACTTTTAATTCACAGGTCTGTTAATCAGTTATTTGTGTGCTTATTTCACAACTCAGAGTCAAGCAGGAGGGCAAGGACCATGTCTTGCATCTCAGGGATGCAAGCACTTAGAAGGTGCTCACTAAGTGCTTCGAGGATGGGCTGTCCCAACGTAAGGAGAGGAGGAATAGAAAATGATTAAACAGACAGCAACAAACAAACGAGGGCAACAGCCTGTTGGTCCTACATCGCCATTAGATCACCCACCCTTCTCCTGTCCAAAGCAGGAGCACCCTCCATTCCCCTGCTTTCTGCAGGAACCGGCCTCACCCAGCGGCATCTACGCTCTGTCCTCCCAGCCAGCAGATGCCCCCAGACCCCCCGGCTCCTCCTCCTCTGCCGTCACAGCCTCGTCCTCTCCCCCTCCTTCCTGTTGCTGCGATCCGGGCCCTGGGGCTGCGGGCGCCAAAGCGCCGAGGCTTCCTGGAGCGCCTGGCCAGGTAACGGCGCGGGGCTGGGTGGGCACTGGGTTGCGCTCGGGCGCGGGAGTGACGCGCCCGGCCTCTGATGGGGTTGGAGGCGGGCAGGCGGCCGGCCTCGTCTCGGGAGGAAGAGGGTGCTTCCGCCCTTGGGCGCTAGGTCTTAGGATAACGGTCCTGGGCTCCGGGCACAGTGTCCAGCCGGGCCGCAGGCAGGTCCGCACGGAGGCGACCGCGCTCCTCTCGGCACCCGAGGCTGCAGCTCGCCGCCAGCCACGCCTGCTCCTGGGAGGCCCGGAGCTCGGTGGGCCCGCCCCGCCCGGAGAGCGCCCTCGGGGAGGGGAACTTGGGGCTTCCGAACACCCTTTGGTCCTCCCACAGCGCAGGCACCAGACGCGCAGCTCCCAAGGTCACGGAGTTGCATCTGCCTTTTGCAAATGTCTTGTGCTTTTATTCGAGTGTTTGTAAATGGGCTACTGTTTCCTCTGTTGAGCCAGGGAATTAGGATTCAGAGAAGAGGACTCTAAAAATAACTAATCGGCATGTCCAAAAGGGCTGATCCGCATTACTGGCTAGTGACCCTGGCCTTCAAAAGGAAATAAGAGGGTCAGTTCTTTTCACTGTGGGTGCTTTGTATTTCTGGCCCTCGAACTGAAAATTGGCCTAGAAGTTTTACAACATTTATCTTAGAATTCCGTGTCAGAACCGAAATGGACTACAGAGTTCTCCAGTCCTTTTTTTCCTTTCTCCCTTTTTCTGTTCCTTCTTTCTTTGGTTGTTGTTTGGAAAACACACTCTACAGGTGAAAGTGAATTTTCCACACTCATGCTGCAAGCTAGGGGCAGAGAGAATGGAACTTGGGTCAATGAGACCCAGACACCTACTATTTTCTTGATTTCGGATGAAAGCTGCACAGAACTTGACCTTCATAAAGCCCTCTCAGGATAGCATTCTTGGGAGTGGCTTGTGTACTGAAGCGAGTTAGTCCACAGATAGCATTTCATTTATCAGAATAGAGTTTAGCAGTAAGTGTAGTCGTGCAGAAAATTCCTGCTGAGATGTCACAGATAACTACAATAGTTTGGACTTTTTTCATTTGTACTTTCAACAGAGAAGCTAATGAATATTAAAAGTGACATCTTCATCATTTTTGGATTTTAGTTCTGAGAGGCTAACTTGATTAAGTTTTACTTGTTCTTGTTCAAATATTTTTGTACCAGTAAAAAGTCCAAATGTAGCTTTCTGACTTTGTTTCATTTTTAACTGAATAATTGCCTTAAAGATATTTATATCTCAATGAGCTTCTCCTACCTTAAAATCCTTCTGCTTTCCCTCTGGTAAATATTTGAGTTGGATTTCAGAACAGAAATAGGATTTTTTTTCCCATCTTTTAAGATATTTGGACTCTGTTTAGTTCTATATTTAGTTTTACCCCAAGTTTTGATTTCAGCTGATAAACCTATGACCCAAATCCAAACCTCAGCCAAATTTACTTTAAGCTTAAAAATACCAGAAACCTCCCTGTATTATATGACTTCTAGCAGAGCCCAAAAGGGGCCATGTTTTTTTTTTCATGAGAGCTTCACATTGAGCGTTTTTGAAATGTTAAGATATTATCAGATACATGCGCTTTATTGTCTCTGTATTACTGCCCAAAGCCAGTCATGGCTGGAGGGTTGTCACTGACATTTGCTCATTGTAACATGTGACCTTAGCTACCAAGTCAGAATGCATTTCCTCCTTTTCAGTTGTAGAGCTTCCACCAGTTGTCAGCGCATTATCTCTGAGGAACCTGGGGTTATGAATACAACCATACTTAAATAGAAGATTTTTAGGTGTTTCAGTAAAGGCAGGGTTTTTGTACTATTCTGTAGTAGTAATGCAAACATATACACAGAACTAGCCAATGTAGAGGAAGAAATGTCTCAGTAAAGGCAATGTTTTAGTACCATTCTACAGTAGTAATACAGACATATCCACAAAGTGACCCAATGCTCTTTTCTTAGGGTGCATCCTTTGTTTTTCTGGTTTTGGTCTTTTCACCATAGGATGGCATTAGCCCTGTGTCTGCAGGTGCTGTGCAGTCTGTGTGGCTGGCTCTCACTCTACACATCTTTCTGCCACCTGAATAAGCACCGAAGCTATGAGTGGAGCTGCCGGCTGGTGACATTCACCCATGGAGTCCTCTCCATAGGCCTCTCAGCTTATATTGGCTTCATTGATGGCCCATGGCCTTTTACTCATGCAGGTAGGTAGGGGACATTAGAGATTTTCTCTTAGGATTTATCATTTGTGGGTACACTTCAAAGAATGGGACTTTAAAAAAAGATTTTGTATAGTATTGAAGAATAATTCCCATGCTAATTTGTATTGCAGTATTCATTCTTTATTGTTAACTCTGATATCATATATGTTGTCTGTTGCTTCTGCTTTTTATAACTCTATTTCAAAACCAATTTTAGATTTCTTCTTACAATTTAATCAGTTAGCAAAATACAAAACATAAAGCCAATATTGATATCTTGCACCACTCCAGATAGATACAAACAAAACTATATTGTACATTTTAACTATTTTGGTAGACTGCCATTTTTATTCAGTCACATATTGGAAGGACATCATCTTACCATGTCTATGGATATAACTCTCTCTCTCTCTCATCCTTTCTAATTGTTACAAAATAATTTCCTATCATTATTTGGGGCATCTGGGTTAATTTTTACATCACTAAATGTACAAATGTTATTTCCTTGGATACCAAAGTTGTTTGCCATTGCATTGTTGGATGGGACTGCCATAACAAAATGTCACAGACTGAGTGGCTTAAAAACAGACATTTCTCATAGTTCTAGAGGCTGGAAACCCAAAATCAAAATGTTTGGGTTGGTTTTTTTTTGTTTTTGCAGAAGCCCATCTCCTTGGCCTACAGATGGCCCCCCTCCCACTGTGTGGTCACCTGCTTGCCCTCCTGTGTGTGTCCTAATCTATTTTTCCTATCAAGATGCCAGTCACATTGGAATAGGGCCCACCCTAATGATCCTGTTTTAATTTACTGCCTTCTTAAGGTCCCATCTCCAAAACTGTCACATTGAGGTATTGGTACCCAGGGCTTCAACATGAATTTTGTATCTGAACGTCTTTTTTTTTTTTGTCATTTTGAGACAGGGTCTCACTATGCAGTTCAGGCTGAACTTAAACTCACTTTGTAGCCCAGGCTGGCCTTGAACTCACAGCAATCCTCCTGCCTCAGCCTCCCAAGTGCTGGGATTACAGGCGTGCGCCACCACGCCCGGCCAACATGAATTTTGGAAGGACACAATTCACCACATAACTGCCCTGGAATATGATTTTTTATAACGTTTCTTAGATTCTTTAAAAATTTTCTAAGATTCTCATGTTGAGTTTCTGAATTTTCCCCAAAGCTGTCAAACTGAGGAATAGTAGTTTTTAAGTTTTGTGTTTTATATGACAGTTATTAATAGTTTCAAACATGTCAGGTCCTTGTATCCTGTATTCTTGGACAAGGGATGTCAAGGGATGGTTTGGGATGGTTTCAGGAGGGATAGAGCTGCCAGTGTCCAATAACTTTCCCATTCAACTGCAAAATTAATCTGACATTTAGGACAGATAACAGAATGACTCAAGAGTCTGGAAACAGACTTTAAGCTTTTTTTTTCTTTGTGTGTGTGTGTGTGTGTGTGTGTGTGTGTGTGTGTGTGTGTTGTTGTTGTTTTTTCTTTTTAAGGCTTAGGATTCTAATTGAAAGAACAAAATTATTTTGTACAGTTCCATAGAGAATACACTGAAACTATTGCCTACCGTCACTCCTTGAAGTCTGATTTATCAGAATAGCATTTTCTGGGGCTAGGACATCATTTAGTGTGACAAAGACCCAGGTGTTACATTTTAGTGTTTTTTGGTTACTGTTACAAAGCTTGGGCCTGGCACTGTTTTTGTCTCCTTCAGTGACTCAAAAGGGTTGGAAAGACAACAGCATAGGATCCCTGTGCAAGATGGCACAATTCTTAGTCACTCAATCTGGTTCTGTCTTGGTTTGTTTCAGGATCACCCAACACACCTCTCCAAGTTCACGTTCTGTGTCTCACCCTGGGCTACTTCGTCTTTGACTTGGGTTGGTGCATCTACTTCCAGTCTGAGGGTCCCCTGATGCTGGCTCACCACACATTGAGCATCTTGGGCATCATCGTGGCCCTAGTGCTTGGGGAGTCGGGCACAGAGGTCAATGCAGTCCTCTTTGGAAGCGAGATCACCAACCCCTTACTGCAGTTGCGCTGGTTTCTTCGTGAAACAGGGCACTATCACAGTTTCACTGGAGACGTGGTGGACTTCCTCTTCGTGGCTCTGTTCACTGGAGTGAGGATTGGTGTAGGAGCTCGCCTCCTTTTCTGTGAAATGGTTTCACCCACACCCAAGTGGTTTGTAAAGGTTGGGGGAGTAGCCATGTATGCTGTGTCTTGGTGTTTTATGATTAGCATCTGGCGCTTTGCATGGAAGAAAAGCATCAAAAAGTATCACGCCTGGAGAAGCAGGCGGAGTGAGGAGCGGCAGCTGAAGCATAATGGACATCTTAAGATACACTAATGAAGGCTTGCTCCAGATAGCAGAATGGGTGAAGTCAGCCATGGGAACCGGGTTGGAAATATGACTGATACAGAATCGTGCTTCTAACAAACTTAGGTTTCCAAAAAGGGCTAAAATTATTGATCACTTTGGTCAGTCTTCAAGCTGAGCATACAGTATTAAAACACTAGCTTCCACAGTGACATGGTTGTTGAAACTGAGGATTGTCAGTTGGTAGAGGTCAGCTCTGTGAGGTGAGAACTGCTGGCATTCCTTTTTGTGTGGTGAACCTAGGTCCTCTTGTCCCAGGAAGGCTTGATATGCAGACAGCTTTGAAAGCAACCTGGAAAAGATAAGTACTGTTTCTTTTTCCTTTGAAGAAGTAACTTCTTCCGTGTATACTTATTCCTGCTTCTCATGTAGCAATCTGTGGAACTTTACTACATAAACTGTTAAGTGAGGGACTTCGAGGAAGAACATGCTTTTGACATTCTGAACACTGGCTCAGGAAATTGGATCTGCTTTAAAAAGGAGAATGTTTATATTTACTGTGTCATAGGTCCCTGAGACCACCCCCAGTTCCATGGTTCACTAGCAACATTTACAGAACCCATCATACAGTCTTACAGCTTTGATCTATGATAGTGAAAGGACACAAAGAAAAATCAGCAAAGGGAAAAGGTACTGGGGGCAAAGTCCCAGTGAAACCAAGCACAAACTTCTTGAGTCCTCTGCCATTTGGGTCCTGCAGGATGTGCTTAATTCCTCTCGTATGGACTTCTGACAAGCTTTCCTACCAGGGAAAGTCATGAAGAATGTGGTGCCCAAGGTTTGTGTTGGGCACCGGTCATATAGGCAGCCTCTGCCTGGAACATAGCAAAATTCAAAACACCCAGCAGGAAAGCAGGCATTCACCATAAGCCATATTGTTTGCCCAGACAGTTTAAGTGCAGTTGCCAGTTGTATCAGTTAATGCCTAGAGCCTGACCCACCCTTCGGAAATCTTAGTTCTCAGATGCCGGCCATGGGCCAACCTTGCAAGCAGTCCTTTCCAAGGATAGTAGTTCAGGCCTGCTACATTAACTCTTTTCTGCATAAAAATCATACAGCTGGGGGTTTGGATGCAAGATGAATGAAGTGTGGGTAGATTTACCAAGTCCTGTTGTACGGGTTCTGCCCTACCAGGAAAACTATGCCAGTTCTCAGGGCTTTTGTGCATTAATCTCCTAGGCATGAGAGGCCATGACTAAATTCCATAGGGATTTACCATGTGGATTCCACTGTGCTTGAGATGGGAGTTCAGGTTACAGCTTGGCTGTACATAATTGCAAACTAGAACCAAAGACTGTAGTGTGGGTACTGGTCTCAGGGTGATGAGGCTAATTTTTAGAAATTCTTTTTTTTTTTTTTTTTGGTAAATTTCAGATACATCCATTTTAGTACTCTTACTACCTTTTCTCCTTTCTCTAAAACAGGTGCATGTCTTTAAAGACAAACTAATATGGCAAGGCCAGTCTTGGAAGAGAAAAATATTTCTTAGTGTGATAGTCTCTGATCTCACATTAGAAGCAAGAGTACAAGCCTAGAACAAGGGTTTAGGAGTTAAGAATTCTTGGATTCTTTAAACTAATTCTGCTATTCATTTGCCGGATCGTTTGGCCAGTGCACTTGTTTACTCTCTCCTAAACCTGTTGTGAATGAATGAAATACCCTGTTTTCTATTTCATAAAGATATGTGAAGTTCTGTTAATGGATGTCTTTAATGCAGTGCTTTTATGAAAAAAAATGAAGCATTGCTTACTTATTCCTTGTTTCTTTATTTATTTTTACCATGTTCTTTAGAATGGTGGTGATTGGTTAGCTCAGTTGGTGAGCCAGCAAATGGTGCTATAGAAATCAAGACCAATGATCAGTAGCAAGTGCCATTCCACTCTATGGTCTCTGGTGATACTAATCCAATGAGTGACCTTGAAAATGGATGTCACTGGCTATAGAAACAAGGCATGAGAAAGTGATTGGAACCACATAAAGTTATTACTGCAGAAGGAAAAGCAACTATAAAGCATGTTAACTTGTCTTTTTAAGATGCCTGTAATTTAGTTAAAGAGTTTTTCTGGGCATTGAAATAATCCAGCAGATATAGCATCTCCACCTCTGTTTCTATGATTAGTGTCCCTAAAATGCTGGTGAGCTTCTTTCTAGCAAAACTGTGGGCAAAGTAGGATGCTGGGGAATGCTGATTTCATCAAAAGCCCAGTAGAAAAGAGTGGCTTGGCACATGAGCTTAAGAAAAAAAAAGAAAGAAAGAAAAATCTAGCTCTTGAATTTTGGCACGGTATAATCTGTTCCATACCAGACAAATGAACAGGCTTAATCTGGTACGAGTTCTTTTCTGTCTTACCCTTCAGAAGTGAAGGGATTGAAGATCTTGCTATTTGAGACACTCAAGGTAATGTATGTAGGGTCTTTTTCTTTTTTAGATAATGAGAAACCTGGATAAATGATAAGAGGAAGGGAATCCTTCATTTTAGCTTTTCTTGATGTTGTAGCTATTAACGACAAAGAAACTTCTCTGAGAGAAAAATGTGAAGTGAAGATGACTCATCAGTAAGATGTTGACTTTTTACATCACAGGTAAATGAAGGGCTAATGAACCTGTGCTATGGCTGGAGAAAAAAATAATTCATTTGCATATGGATTACTATGTAATGATAACTAACACTGTTGAAGGATTTATATTTCAATATGATTTGTACTAAATTTTATAAAAATAAAGTAACTTTTTATAAATCCAGAGTCTGCCTTTTATATTTTTGCTGTGATTTGGCCAAGGATTTTTTAAAGAAGCCATTGGCTTCTAGGAATACTGATCATTATTCATAATTACTGGTGAGACACCACTAATCTGTTGCTTAGCATTAATTGTCCTTACTATATTTTTATTTGAGTGGATAGTAATCAACATACATCAAATAGTTTGCTGAAAAAAGAGCTTAATTCTTTTTGGTTCTACCACCTGTTTGGGCAGTGGCCTTGACAATGATGATGTGGGATGAGTCCACAAAGACAAGGCCTCTGGCTCTTCTGAGAACTGGACTCCCAATCCCTAAAACAGTCCTGGACATATAGTACGTACATAATAAGTGTGTTGAAGAAATGGATGAAGGATGAAGGTGTGCTGGAAAACATCCTCAGAGAACCTGTCCAGTGGATTGGCCAGTAGTATCAGCTTTCTAGGTACCAGACTGATCCTTTACCTAGGCCAATGTGTCTTCTGAAGGCTTTCTCTACATGGAGCTTTTAGAACAGCAGAGCTGCCAGCAGTTACCAAGGAGCAAGATTTCAGGGGATGTTTTTATCATTAGTGCTTTGTGGTTGACTACGGAGATTTTCATTATTAATTTCTTTTTCTTTTAGTTCTGGAATGAATAACTACTGGTTATTCAATCCTTTGATTACCCTCTTCTGAAGCTTTCCTTTGCTCACAGCTAGAACCTTGGGTCTGTTAAGTTTAGAAAGATCTTGAAGTTTGCCAAGAGGTTTTGTATACAAGGAAGAGAAGGTGAATTAGGAAACTTTCCCAGTTTGTTTTATTCCCTAAGCTTAAGTACTGAAAGCATACCTGAAGGGAAGATGGGAACTCATTTTCTTTTTTTTTTTTTTGGTGTTTTTTTTTTTTTTTTTTTGGTTTTTCTCCGGTACCGGGAACCGAACTCACGACCTTATGCTTGCCAGGCAGGCGCTTTTTGCCGCTGAGCTAAATCCCCAGCCCTTCATTTTCAAAATGTATGATTTGATGAATCATGGGGTCCAAATCATTTGATACTTTCACAGTAACATCATTAGAATGAGGAAAAATAAGACTTTTAGTGTACTTAACAAAGCTTTATTGAAGTTTGGGGATAAGATTTGCGTTTTGCTCCTTGTCTATGGAGGAAGGAACTCTTTCCACTTCTATGCAGAAAAAAATTGGGAGTTTTCAGGATAAAAATTGTCATGTTAGGCTACACCAGCAGGTGGCAATATGTCCAGATCTGATCATTAGGAAAGTGGCTTGGAACCTTAATCGGCTTCTAGTCTTTCCAAAAATAAACATTACAAAATTAGCTTGCTGTGCCTTGAACTTACAAAAAAAAAAATCCAGCAATAGTCATCTTTGGCCTTTGTTTATCTTTTTCTTTTTTTACCCAGTTCTAACGTCAGCCTGAGCTCATGCATCTATTCAGGGATAATGATCCTTTCATGAACCTTTGTGGAATGACTTTTAGAAGAGCATTGTTAAGAGCTAATTGTTTTCTCCCTTCACATCCACTGTTTATTAGACTGGATTTCCACAAAATGGCTGAAGTCCCTTTCCACCGACGCGGATTTAAATTCAGAAGTCTGAAAATAGCTGGATAAAGGACAGCCATTTAGACGTTTGCAGGCAGAATTGGAGAACTATATTATATGTGGTACTTCAATACCACAACATTCAACTATTCAATCATAAAACTAGATGAGCATCTAAGTGTCTCCACTCCGTAAAAAAAGAAAGCGGATAAATATTTGGGAACTCTTCAGACAGACGTGGAGTTGTGGTTACAGGACTGGTACACTGTACTTCATTTTCTTCCTTTTCTTTCCACGGCAAGCTTGTTAATCGCTGTGGAAAGCACCATGCTTTCTGAATATGGCAAATAATACGTACATTTCATCTTGCCAAGGCAAAAGAGCCTCAAAGCAATATTTATACCAACAAACCCTGGCTCCAGTCCCCGCATCCTCTCTCCCCAGCCTTCGCGCCCGTCTTCTCCTGCCCACCCCGGCAGCCAGGGCTGATGCGCGGCAGCCCCGCCGCGGGGAGAACCGGCAGGTGCCAGGTGAGCGGTGCCCGCGCGGGGCTTTGCTTCACGGGAGGGACGCTGTCCGCGCATCTGGACCGGGACTCGCGTCCAGCGACCAAACCGTTTCGTACGTGTTGTCAGGAAACAGGCGGCCGAGGACATTCCCGCAAGAAATAAAAGTTTCCAGGACAAGGGGGTCGGGACGTGAACGCCTCTGGATTGGGGGAGTGGTCTTTGGCTGGTCCGGGCTAAGCCCGACTCTGTACAAGCTAACACTCCAAAGTGCACGTCCCGAGCACTCAAGGGCCCCGGGGCCAGCCAAGGAGCGGCGGGTGGGACAACCGCAGCTACCTCCATTGCCCCACAGAACTACTTTTTCACTCCCCCCACCGAGGCTCTTGGCGGAGGCGTCCGCGCGGAGCGGCGCGAGACCACGCAGGGAGGGAGGCCGAACGGCGGAGGGATCCGGGTGAGGCGGCTTTCGAAGTCAGCGGGGAGGAGGCCCGAAAAGTCGGCGGGGGAGGGGACGAGCTGGAAGCTCGCTCGCTCGCTTGCGCTGGACGCGCCGGGGCCGGGAAGACAGAACCGGAACCGGAACCCGCGCGCGCGCCCGCCCGCAATTGTCGCGCGGTCCCCCACCGCCGGCGGCCTCCCCCGCCTTTCGCGCGCGCTCCCGCGAGGCCCCCCAGGACCCGGCCAGCCGGCCCTGCACTGGGAGTCGCCGCCGCCGCCGCCGCTCCGGGGCCGGCACTTCCAGGCCGGGCCGGACAGGGACGTCCCGCACCTCTAGGGAACCGCCGCCTGCCGGAGCGCCGGGGAGGAGCCGCCGCCGCCGCCTGTGCGGACTGCGGAAGAGACGGTCTGGGCCTCTCCGGGATGGGGAGCAGCCCGCGGCGCTGAAGGACGCGGTCCCTGTCACCTCGGGCTGCGAGACTTCCTCCCCGGCAGCCGCGGCTGGTCCCAGCGCCTGGAGCCTGGTGGGGGCGGCGAGGAAGACTAGAGGGGGCCCCCGGCCGGGGGACATGGGGCGGCTGGAGCCCGGCGCGGGACGGCCGGAGAGGCAGCCGAGGCTGCGGCCACGAGCAGCCGGCAGCCGGAGATAGAGAGCGGGGACCAGAGGTCTGGCCCGGCCCTGCCGTGGCGGGCGTCGCGTCCCGGCCCCGGAGGGATTCCGGGTCCCCTTCCCACGGCTTGCGGACTTCTCTGTGACGAAGTTTACTTCCTCTGCTTTCGGGAAGATTTATCGCTAGCTCTAGAACTCGCCTTCTGGCTGACTTTCTGGGTTTGTGTTGGGAGACAGCTTGTTTTGCTCCAACCCTCAGCCCCTTTCCTTGACCTCTTCCATCGGATGTTCTAGATGACTGAATGGAGTTTTGAGTTGGACTTTTGTGTCCCTGCCGGAATTGGGCCTGATCCCAGAGCACTGGGGGTGGGGTGGAGGTGTTTTTGTAAAATGCAAGTTGGATAAAAGGAGGACCTCTTGCCAAGGGCCCCAATGAGTGGCACACAGTCTACTATCACCGACAGGTGGGTATGCAGTTCCTCTGTCGCTTAGCCTCCTAGGATTCGGCCGGGTGATTGCAGTTTGCCTTCCGCCAGTGGAGTTGACAGGCAAAGGAAAGTGGTTGTTTTCTGAGCTGTGCAATTAGACTAGGGTTGTTGCCAAGTTCTCCGGTTGATTGAATTTGGAAATACAGTTTTTCTAGAGAGAAACTTTCCCCAGATTCTCAGAGCAGAGGTAGAGAAAGCCGTCATCTTGGGCTGTCTGTAGCGTGCATTAGGATTCTGTACTCATCTTGGAGAAAAGTCACTTTGCCTGAAGCCGGTGGGAATTGGTGCATCATCAGATTTACTCCTGCCCTTCGTAGTTCTTATATTATTAGCTTTTAGGAATTTCAGTCTGTGAGCTTAATTTTCAGCCCACTGCCTGGTGATTTGTAAGCTTGATCTCTTTTAAGTGTTTACCCGCATAGTGTTTAATTATTAATTGTCGAATAATTTTCCCGAATGTTGACATCGCCAGTAAATCGCAGGCTCTTGTTGGAGGCAGTATTCAGAAGCTGAAAGAAATTAGGGGAAATCCTGAGGCTTGCTTTTAATTATTATGTTTTAATATTTCATCTTCCAGAAACACTTGTGTCTTAGGGATGTAAACCCTAAGCATGGTGCAAATGTGCCTGTGATTTGCTTATCAATATTGTATGGTGATGTTTAGAGACAATATATGGTAAAGGTGGAGTTTCCTTACCCCTAAGAGTTAAAATATGACACTGTGTGGAGCTCCCAAATTTCCGTCAGCTTGCATTATTTTTAAGTCAACCTTCAAGCTATTACATCATAAAAAAATAGAGCAAATAAGCGAACTAGAAAGCCAAAGCTCTTTGATGAAAAGTGCAACAGTGCTTCTGCAGAAAGTAATTTAATTTCCTAATAAGAATGTTTCACCCAAATGTGATTCTCATTTGTTGATTTTAAAAGGGCCAAATTCCATTATCATACCATAACAGCTACTCCAGAAACAGAACTTCCTCTTCCTGTTGATACTTTCCAGTGTCACATGAATGTTCACCTAAAAGATTCCATTAAATATTTAAATGGCTTATATTTATCCTCTGTGTATTTTGTTAAATGGGTTTTCATTTTCAGTGAGTTGATTTTTAATTTTTCTCGAATATACTTCACATGAATAGTGTCAGTGCTTTTTTTTTTTTTTTTTGGTCCCCATTTCTTTTGCTTTCAGGGTGTTTTGCTTCCCAGAAATCACTTTCAACAGTGTGTGAATAATTGTTTTCCTGCTTCATTCAGTTCTTGCCCTTTTTGTTGAATGTGTAGACAAAAAATCTTACTAGGAACTGATGTAGTGATGATATTCATTGAGGTGTTGGGATGTTTAATTTGTAGAAACAGAATTTAGGGTCACCCATGCATTTCACAGAAAAATCACTTCAAAGCCCCCAACTAATGTTTTTTAGAGCTTTGCTTTCAGGAATTCTTTTTCTATTACCTTAGAAAATACAGGATTTATGCCTTTTTTATAACTTAGATAGCATCTAACATTCAGTAAGCATGCAGTTATTGAAAGCCTGTTCTTTGCCAAATACTGTGCTAGACAAGAATGATTAAAAAGTGAATATTTTAAGACTAATCTGCAAATTGCTTTAAGATTAATATTCTTTAACTGGTTCAGGTCCCACCCAACTTTACATAGTTAAAAGGTATTTTGAAGGGTAGTTAAAAGGAGCCGCTTAATTTTGCTGAGATCTGTTTTCTAGAAACTTACTGTTTTAAAAATGAGAGTTATTTTATGACCACATTTTCTTTAAACATTTCTAGATGTTTCATAAATATAAAGCAGCCATTTGTGTTTGAGAGTAGTTGTTCCTGATTTGAATATATATTGAGTGAAATCTGGAAGTACTGGTTTAGTACTATTTCTATGCCAGGGTGCCTTAACAAAGTTATGAGTATGAAATAATTTTGTCTGCTTCTCAGTCCTACCTACATCGCCTTCTTTTTCTCACTAATTCCAATGTTTGGTAGGTACATTTTGTTGATTCTTAGGACTGTTGGCAAATTAATAGTGCCAGTGTAGCTTTTTAGAGATCCTTTCAAGTTTGAAGTACTCTATGTGATATGGCTTTGTTCTGTAGAGTGTGCAGAACCATCAGGCCAGCTGTGTGAGTTGGAGTTCTTTCTTTGTGGTGCTTCTGACTACAGAGTCTGTCTGTCCTCAGTTGAAATCAGACTAGCTGGTTTTGGGCGTTGTTCTGTTTTGCAGTTTGTGGCAGGCGACACATGGCTGAACAAGATAAGAAGGGTTTTATTCTTGCATTAGGGACGTGCTGGGGCTGGGATGGAATTTGGCTATGTTTAGTTCCTGATTGGTCACTTTGGATACTTAGAACTCTGTAACATCCTGTTATTATTTTGTAGTTAAATTAACACATTCATTTTTTCCCTTCTCTTTCCCATAATCTTTTACTTCTCAGCCTCCATTTCTTTTTTTAAAAAAAGCTTTAAACACAAACTGTATTCATGGTTATGTAGTATACTGAATTTAAAAATTTAAGTAGTTCTATGGGTAACTTGAAGTCACTTACTTTGTAAGTTCTGTGAGACCAGGAGACTCATAGTTTTCAGTGTTTAGAATAACGACATGGAAAGTGGTAGAAATGTCAAATTATTGCTTTCAATCTGTACTGATTGCTTCATTCAGATGTAAAATACTGTATATCCTAATTGTTTCCAGTCCTTCTATGTGCTTTCTTCTATTCCTGAGAGTTTAGTGATAGAATTTCTTCTGGGAGGTAGAGAGCAGAGAATACTCTTGCAGTGGACTCAGTAAATGATTTTAGGCCAGATTCCTTAATAGTATTTTTAGGGGCAGTAGAGGTAAGAGAGTTATAAGGGTCTTCACTGAAATACATGGACCTTGGTTTTGTCTAGGGCTTAGGGATTTTGTTGTTCCTTTTGATTTGCAGATGAATGAAAGTTTTTGATGTAATGAAATTTTATTAGCAATGAATTCAGCTTTAAGCTTGTATAACTTAAACTGTTAAAGTACGTGTGGGAATTTTAACTTTATATGCATATACCTATACTTATGAAAATGCTCATTTTCATTAGTGATACATTTTTACCCAGAGTTGTCATGTAATGCTTTTGGTTTAAATATTCTTTATGTTATTATTTTCAAAGTTGCACAAGTCATTATCTGCAAGGTGAAATTATTTGTGACATTTTCTTGTAAAGCCAATCAGTTGATAAGTACAAAATTAAAATTGAAGTTAAGGCCAGGCGTGGTGGCACATGCCTGTAATCCCAGCACTTGGGAGGCTGAGGCAGGAGGATTGTTGCCAGTTCGAGCAGCCTGGGCTACAAAGTGAGCTCAAGGTCAGCCTGAACTGCACAGCGAGACCCTGTCTCAAAAAGACAAAAAAAAAAAAAAAAAAAAGAAAAGAAAAAATAAAATTGAAGTTAAGGACCTCAGTGCTAGCTTTGCATTATTATATTTTTGTCTTTCCTGTCAGTTATTTGGTATAAAATCTTGATTCATATAGGTACGTGGTACTGCACTCGTACAGTTTTAGATGAGTCAACATGTGGAATCTAAAGTAAATTTTAAAAATGTGTAGAGTTGCAGTTTTCCTAGTTAATAACACAATTGTGATATGTTCATATTTAGTCAGTGTGTTGACAAAGTTTTATTTGAAATCATGACAAAAGTGTGTTATCCTTTTGATATACCATTTAACATATTGGTGGTTTCCATTTGGTAACACATACTATATGGCATTGAGTTGACATGTAGGTGTTTTTATAACGTTCGTTGTAAACATTCATAAACCTGTAAATGATAGATTTTACATAGTTTTCTCTGAGCATTATGATTCCAGGGCAAAAAGTTTGAAAAATCTCTGAGTGTACTCTTCTGAGAGTTATCCAAGAATGTGTGTGAATTGCCTCCCAAAATGATATGGGTCATAGACACTGCAGGATATATTAGTGTTCTCTTTTGTATCTTGGTGGCCTGACAGAATTATTAGGAATGCTTTTTATCAAGCTGAGGATGTTACTTAATGGTGGAGCACTTGTTTAATTTGTGGGAGGACTTGAATTGGATCCCCAGCAACACACACACACACACACACACACACACACACACACAGAGAGAGAGAGAGAGAGAGAGAGAGAGAGAGAGAGAGAGAGAGAGAAACAAGGAAAGAAAGAAATTCTTATCATAGGATTGCTTATTGACCATGTCACATTTTCACAAACAGGGAACTTAATTTTATTTGGCCTCATATGTTAAAACTTGGTTTTGATGATGTTTTAAAGCTTTACTTGAAGACATGCTCCTTTCTCTTAATATTTAGGAGTTCTCAGAATAATGCTATTTGAATTAAAAAAAATGCTATTTGAATTCAAATTTTAAAATCAGCAATTAAAAGATTTAAAAATATATGTAGAGTCTGCCAAAAATATATACATCAGGAAAAGAAAACCTTGTGTAAATATATTAATACTGAGTTTATTGAGACATCATGATCTTAACGCAAGTTACCTTTGGCCTCTACAGTTACAAGAGATGCTCAAAGTAGCTTCCAGGTATTTGTTAGTATTGTGAACTGCTGAAGTATATATATATTTTTTTGGACTTTGTATTTGCATATACATTTCCTTTTGAGTAAAATATTCTCATGTAATGATACCCTGTGGTAGTGTCTGTCCGTCTGTCTGTCTATCTATTTTTTTGGTCTTTTTGAGACAGGGTTTCACTTTACAAGTTCAGGCTGGCCTTGAACTTGTAGCAGTCTTCCTGCCTTAGCCTCCCAAGTGTTGGGATTACAGATGTGCACCACCACACCTGGCATAATTTTTTAATATTTATAATATTTTCAGTTTGGCATAGGGCAAATCATGTTTTGATCATTTACAGTTAACAATTCATAAAGTTTAAATCAAGATTATAAAATTGGTAAGGACAGAGCTAAAGCTTTAACCCATATTTTCTAGCTTTCAAGTTC